AATCCCATCTCCACATTTCCCATCTTTCCAGACCCCACCACTGCATTTCCCATTTTTCCAGATCCCATCACCACCATTTTTAGGGAAGAATCCCTCTCCACATTTCCCATCTTTCCAAACCCATCACCACCACTTTTAGGGAAGAATCCCTCTCCACATTTCCCATCTTTCCAAACCCATCACCACCATTTTTAGGGATGAATCCCTCTCCACATTTCCGAACTTTCCAAACCCCACCACCATTTTTAGGGAAGAATCCATCTCCACATTTCCCATCTTTCCAGACCCACATTTCCCATTTTTAGGGATCAATCCCTCTCCACATTTCCCAACTTTCCAAACCCCACCACCATTTTTAGGGATGAATCCACTTCCACATTTCCCATCTTTCCAGACCCACATTTCCCATTTTTAGGGATCAATCCCTCTCCACATTTCCCAACTTTCCAAACCCCACCACCACCATTTTTAGGGAAGAATCCCATCTCCACATTTCCCATCTTTGCAGACCCCACCACTGCATTTCCCATTTTTCCAGATCCCATCACCACCATTTTCAGGGAAGAATCCCTCTCCACATTTCCCATCTTTCCAGACCCACATTTCCCATTTTTAGGGATCAATCCCTCTCCACATTTCCATTCTTTCCAGACCCATCACCATTTTTAGGGATGAATCCCTCTCCACCTTTCCCATCACCACCATTTTTAGGGAAGAATCCACTTCCACATTTCCCAACTTTCCAAACCCCACCACCACCATTTTTAGGGAGGAATCCACTTCCACATTTCCCATCTTTCCTTACCCCACCACCACCACTTTTAGGGAAGAATCCATCTCCACATTTCCGAACTTTCCAAACCCCACCACCATTTTTAGGGATGAATCCACTTCCACATTTCCAAACTTTCCAAACCCCACCATCACCATTTTTAGAGAAGAATCCCTCTCCACATTTCCCATCTTTCCAGACCCATCACCATTTTTAGGGATGGGGATAAATCCATCTCCACATTTCCCATCTTTCCAAACCCATCACCATTTTTAGGGAAGAATCCCATCTCCACATTTCCCATCTTTCCAAACCCCACCACCATTTTTAGGGAAGAATCCACTTCCACATTTCCCATCTTTCCAAACCCCACCACCACCATTTTAAGGAAAAACCTGTCTCCATTGGGAANGGAGCGGGTGTCGTGGTGGTAACTCCAGTGGGAGCCCCTGGGGGGCCGCGAGACGCCCACCCGCCAGTTGGTGAGGCCGCCCAGGTCCACCTCCCAGGTGTGGAAGCCTTCGGAGAAGCCGCGGGAGCCCAGGACGCAGGGCGCGGAGGTGAAGCGCTCCGGGTTCTCCACGGAGGCTTTGTAGCCGCACAGGGAGACGCTGGAGAGGTCCTCGGAGACGGAGAGCCAGCCCGCGGCCGAGTTGGGGTCCAGGCTGAAGGGGACTGCGGGGAACGGGAAGGGTTTGTGGGAAGGTCGCAGCTCGGTAGGGACCTGTCCTTCCCTCCGTGGAGCCGCCCATGGATTCATTGACACATGGATCCTTCCATCCCTACATGGATCCTTCCATGGATCCATCCAAGGATACCTCCCTCCATCCATCCATCCATCCATCCATCTATGATTCCTTTCACGAATCCATCCATCCATCCATGGATCTTTCAATGGATTCGTCCAAGGATCCATCCATCCATCCATCCATCCATCCATCCATCCATCCATCCATCCATCTATGGTTCCTTTCACGAATCCATCCATCCATCCATGGATCTTTCAATGGATTCGTCCAAGGATCCATCCATCCATCCATCCATCCATCCACCCATCCATCCATCTATGGTTCCTTTCACGAATCCATCAATCCATCCATGGATCTTTCCATGGATCCATCCAAGGATACCTCCCTCCATCCATCCATCTATGGTTCCTTTCACAAATCCATCCATCCATCCATGGATCTTTCCATGGATTCGTCCAAGGATCCCTCCATCCATCCATCCATCCATCCATCCATCCATCCATCCATCCATCCATCCATCCATCTATGGTTCCTTTCACGAATTCATCGATCCATCCATGGATCTTTCCATGGATTCATCCAAGGATACCTCCCTCCATCCATCCATCCATCTATGGTTCCTTTCACGAATCCATCGATCCATCCATGGATCTTTCCATGGATCCATCCAAGGATACCTCCCTCCATCCATCCATCCATCCATCCATCCATACATCTATGGTTCCTTTCACGAATCCATC